AGCAGGAAGGGGCCAGCGAGCGCGGCCCCACCCCGCGGCCGGCCGAGCCTATCGCTGGGAGTGCGGAGCGCGGATAAATGTAGCGCCGCGGCGCGGCCAGCCAGCTCTGCCCGGGGCTGAGGCCGAGCCATGCAGTTCCCGCACCCGGGGCCCGCGCCCGTGGGGGTGCCGCTGTACGCGCCCACGCCGCTGCTGCAGCCCGCACACCCCACGCCCTTCTACATCGACGACATCCTAGGCCGCGGGCCCGCCGCGCCCACGCCCACGCCCACGCTGCCGTCCCCCAACTCCTCCTTCACCAGCCTCGTGTCGTCCTACCGGCCCCCCGTGTACGAGCCCACGCCGATCCACCCCGCCTTCTCGCACCACTCGGCCGCAGCGCTGGCCGCCGCCTACGGCCCTGGGGGCTTCGCTGGCCCCGTGTACCCCTTCCCGCGGACGGTGAACGACTACACGCATGCCCTGCTCCGCCACGACCCCCTGGGTAAGGTGGCCGCATCCACACGGGGCCCAGCCTCGCGGTGGCCAGCGAGGAAGGCGCCACCCGGCAGGTGGCAGCTCCCGGGAGGCGGCGGGGACAGGCAGTGGAAAGTTGTGGCCAGGGCTGTTGGAGAGCGGCTGTCGGACGCGCGCGCGGGGACGGGAGGGGACAGCCGGATCCTGACCGCACGGTGACTCAGATTGGTTTTCCTGCATCATGCAAGCGTCGGGGCGTGTGGAGCCGGGAGAGACCTGGGGCACCCGGGCTACTGGTGGAGGGCAGCCCTGGCCACGCGTATCGCCCGGGGTGGGCTCCCGCCGCGAGGGGGACCGGGAAGAAGGTGTCCAGGCGCCCCGAGGCTGGCCCCTGCAGCGCTGGGCTAGCCGAGGGCCGGGTAGTTCCTGGGCTGGGCTTGGTTCAACAAGCTTGTGTAGTGAAAGAGCCTGACCCTTTCCGTTCATACAGGAAACCTTGAGTTTTCGATAGGAGTAAATCTGGTTTCAGAAGCTGTTAAGTGTTTTCCTGGCTGCATGAAGCAGACCCTTCCCCCGGAGCAGTGCACACTGCTGATTATTTTATCGACATCCTCAATACAGACAAATTCAGGAAACACTCGACTTCTGATAGCCAGGATCCGTTTTTCTGATATTGTTCATTTCCTCTGTGTGGGATGTGACTTTATGGCAGCTAAAATAACCAGTTGCTTCCTCTCTGCCCCTCCACCCCCCTTTGGAGGCTGTTTTGCACCAGTCTGAAGCCTGACGCAAGCAAAATCTCGAAAAACAATGCCAGCTTTCAAAACGTTTAGGTGCAGGGCTGCAGTCGCACCGACGGACGGACTGACGGACACCTCTTTGGAGTAGGAAAGTGCAGACCACAGACAGACGCCAGTTAGAAAAGGGCAACGGAGACACATGGACTGCATAGAATGTTCGGGGCTTGTCCCTTCAGTGTACCAACTGAGAAATAAGCCTCAGTGACAGGGCTGAGGGTCTTTCCCCTTTCCGAGGGAGAATGGGAGGGGAACCTCGACAGGGACCACCAGGGTTTAACACCAACTCTTTGGGCCACTTCAGTGGAGAACTTGGAGGAAATTAACATTTCAATGAAGTAGCATTTCGGTGCCTCGAGCGCAGCCTGCCTTCACCGAGCGCAGCCTCACCGCTCCAGAGATTTGGGTGTTGTAATTTTGTTTTTTAAAAGGATATCGTATTTGTATTTTTAAATTCCAGCCTGCAGGTTTGTTGGCGGGCCCCAGAGTGGCTCTGTTCTCCTGTGGAACGGGAGCAGGGTCCTCCTGGGGCCGGGCCCAGGGCAGACGTTTCACAGAGCGCGCCCTGGGTTTCTTTGGGTTACTGCTGGGACTGAGCAGGAGGAAGCAAAGGGTTTTTTTTTGAGACAGACCAACAGGAAACACATTGACGGAAATGTTGCCATAGCCCACGGGGTGGCTTTAACTGGCCGCCCCCGCAGTGTGAAATCAGAGGAGGCGGCGGCGTGCAGTGGCCACGATTGGAGGCCCCACGCAAGGCCTATCACGGGCACCCGAGCAGTCAAGCCTTGGGAAGTGGAGCAGCCTCGTTTCTCCCCTAAATGCGCACACTTGTGCATCAAGGGAGATGACTTAGCGGTACAAAACGTTGTGCATAAATACAAGAGCGTCTGGTGAAAGAAAGTGACGGTGTTTTAAGTCTGATGGATTCTTTTGGGGTCGAAAGATTTTGTTTTTGGTCATAGGTGTGATGGTCAGTTGTGCCATGTGTCTGAGTCCAGGAGTGGTTTGTGTGCTAGTGCAGGGTAGCTGACCTTGGCTCTGTATATGTAATGTGAACAAGTCTTAAGAGACCTTCCCCATTGTGTCACCTAGGACCACGTAGGTGTGGGGACTGCCCACGAGGCTGCAGGGCCATCACTAATCACTCTCCTCCACAGGCAAACCCTTGCTGTGGAGCCCATTCTTACAGCGGCCACTGCATAAAAGGAAAGGCGGCCAGGTGAGATTCTCCAACGACCAGACCATCGAACTAGAGAAGAAGTTCGAGACTCAGAAATACCTCTCCCCCCCTGAGCGCAAGCGTCTGGCCAAGATGTTGCAGCTCAGCGAGAGACAGGTAGGGTCCTCGATGGGGTCCTCCACCAGCGGGCAGTCTTCAGGGGCAGAAGAAGGCCTAGGAGGGCCGAGAAGCCACCTTGCCTTCTAGCATATTCTGATTCTGCCCATTTAGAGGGCTGGTCCTTGCCACATCTCCAGTCGACTTTCCCTTCCTCCCCAGATCCCCTGGGATCTGCTGCTCTTGGCAAACTTGCTTTCTTTCCTGTAGGTCAAAACCTGGTTTCAGAATCGGCGGGCTAAATGGAGAAGACTAAAACAGGTATCGACATGATTCTGTTTCTATGGAAATAAGTATTTGTATCACGTTATCTCAATGCTAGACCTGTTATGGGTTGTATGCAAAAGTTATTTGAGAGACTATTTAACCTCTTCACCTTGATTAAAAAGGCAAATAGCCCCTCTGAAATTCAGGATGAGTTGCTCAGGTGACAGTAATGCTAAAAGCACCTAATGCAGTTCCTGTATCAGTTATGCCTGGGTTTTCACACACTGGCCAGTAAAACTCCAGGTTAATTGTTTTATAAACCCCATATGTTGTTTATCTAATTAACGCAGGAAAGATAAAGTAATTGAGAGTAAATGACTTAAGCAGTTATCTTTGGGAGAAAATTGTTTCTTTTATTTACATAGCCATAATAAAACCGGGCAGGACTCAAGGGTAAATATAAAGACACAAACACCTTTAAGTCTTGTTTGCACTGTTTTTTTTTTTAAAGAATTAAATATCAAAGTTATTTTCCATCTATTGCCAACCCTTAAGAGGAGTATAAAACATGTAAGAAAATATCCACTAGTATTTTGGAAAGTAGTTTGAACTTTCCAACAGTCATTCTTTCAGTGACCTTGTTAATGTAATATGTGATAAAAAGTAAAGACTAATTCAATTTCTAAAGAAGTTCTGTTGACTCTAAGCTGAAAATTTGTTTTTGATGTCCCAGTCTGGATATTTCCAAAGTTATCTGAGAACTGCTGAGTTCTTCATTTGTCAACGCAGACACTTATAAATAACAGTACATATATTGGAACAAAATAATTTTCAAAATGGGGAAGTTTAATGTGTATCTTAAAATATATTGATCATTATCTTTTCATTTAAATTGATGCTATGGCAAAGAACATTTTAAAACAAATTTCCTTAATTTCATTGTTCATAAATAGCTGAGGATTTCTTCTCACCAACCTTGTGAATCTATTTGTTACATAGTTGCAAACTATGAATATATTTTATAGTCTGCATTAAAAAAAATCCCAGAGTATAATTTTTCTGCATAATGTTTACATTGATTTTTAGACAAGCGCAGGCTTAAACATTCACTCACTTAGTTCTTGCTCAAAGGCCTGGTACTTGTGTCCCAATGACTTATAAAATAGTACTTTCTATGTAATATGGGAATTGCTTTTTCAGAAAATTTCCCTCGATTTTAAGCAAACTTGCAGTCTCCTCAGATAGCAATATTATTATAGTTCTGTGATTTTTCTTTCCCATGTTTTTGTTATTTGGTGTATATTTGGTGTGTGCTCATAAACTTACTCCAGAAAATGAGTGAGAAAAGATCTATGCCAGTGATTTGGAAACTTTCTTAATTTACCATATAACTTTTCATTTTATTTTCTTTTTTTGGGGGGGTGGGAACAGTGGGGAATCAAACATCTGGGCCTACAATAAACCAAGCCATTAACACTCTTACTTTTAAAATGTCTGGAAGACCCTGTTATTTGGCAGTATTTAAAGAATGAAGTCTGAACCTCTGAACTGAACCCAGCTTTTCGACCCTAAATTTAAGGATCTTGGAACCAGGGGGTCTGTATGAAGTGTTCAGTTATAGAATGCATTTTACCTGGTGACCAGTGTATGTGCTCTCCATGTGACCTACTTTCCCCTCTTTCAAATAGAGAAAGAATCACAAGCATGTATTTTTCAAATGAAAAGATTTCTGCTGAAAACAAATTTATAAGCATGTAAAAGGCTGAAAAGACATTTTGATATTTCTCCATATTTTATGATCCTGTCAATCTGCATTTTCATTCCTTTTATTCAGGAAAACCCTCAAGGCAATAAAAAAGATGAACTGGAAAGTTTGGACACTCCCTGTGACCAGGGGCAAGACTTGCCCAGTGAACAGAATAAAGGTGCCTCTTTGGATAGTTCTCAATATTCACCCTCTCCAGCTTCCCAGGAAGACCTTGACTCAGAGATTTCAGAGGATTCTGACCAGGAAGTGGACATCGAGGGTGACAAAGGCTACTTTAATGCAGGATGATGACCACTGGCAAGGACATGTTCAGAAAACTGGACTTGCAAATAATATTTTGTTTCAGAGACTCTTCAAAGAGAAACTAGAAAATTGTTTGAGAGGAAGAAATCGATTTTCTGGTGTTCTGGAAACCTAAATATTTGGTGCACTGGCTAATTAACAAACATACAATGAAACCTTAATTTTGACTTAACATATGATATCTATTCATGGATTTTTAAGTTGTTTTGATAAAGTGACTAAATTTCTCCCCATTTTAAGAAGTAAATTGTTTTTATTTATGAAAAGTAATTTTGAACTTTTGTTTAAATTATAACTTTAAAGATTTTAGTAGGCTGTTGAGTAACTTTTCTATAATCTGTATCTATAGTTCAAGTTCACAGTGCTCCTTAAAAAAGGGGCCCACATATTCGGTGCCTTGAATACTTTAAAAGGACACATTCTTGACTTTTACATGACATTCTTACACTGCTGCCTTAAATCCAAAGCCATTTTGGAGCCCTTGGCTCAGGGGTGTGTATTCTTGTAAGCAAGATAAGTTGATAAGATTCAAATGCTGGGTTGTGCTCTGTCAGCACCTCTGACCATGGTGCATTCCTACAGGCAGGGAAACTGACTCATTCATGACTAAAATTAATCTCACATGAAGTAAAAATAGCAGGATAATGTAAGTAGATTGTAGATACTGTGTTTTATAGAAACAATGTCTATAATGTGTATATAGAATTATTCACTGTAAAAACATGGCCGAAATGATGTGTGTTTTTCTTAATGAGTTTACTTGCCTATAAATTCATCCATGGGGCAAATCACCCTGTCAGACTAGTCATTCTTTGTTAAAAAACCTAAACACATCTCTAGAAGTGCTTCCGGATGCAGGGCACAGACCTGGACCCTGGCTTCTAGGGTCCTGGGAGCACAGCCAGCGAGGAGGCTTAAAGAGCCCAAGTTTGGCCCTTTCTTTGGGGGGTGTTTGCTGGGCATGAAGCAGGGCCATTTCGAGCCTGGAGAAGAGCCTGGAGCCGCCAGAGCGCCATCGATTGGTGTGAAGGCCGCCGTCCTTGACCCATGTGAGTCAACACTGCATCATACCTGGCGGGGCTCAGGAGCCTTGGAGCCCCCGCTGTACTGTGCCTGGTGCCTGGTGAGCGAGGCGGGCGGGGTTGGAGTGCTGGGAAGCGCTGGAGGAGTGGGAGGTCAGGTTCACACTGTGTTGGAAGTTGAGTCCCCTGCAGCGCAAGTCAAACTCTGAGTTCTGATTTGGAAGGTCTGGGTGGGAGCGGGAATTTGGATTTCACAAGTGCTCTGGGGAGATTAAGCCAATGGTCCTGAGATCAGTTTTCGAACCATTGATCTAAAATGCTGGCGGTTGGGAAGAGGTAGGGTCCGCATTCCTTTCTCACCCCCTGCACACCAGCTTCCCTCCTGTAACTCCTGTCAGTGTTGGGTAGGGGACTGAGCCAGAAGGAAACAGGAAGGATTCAGGATGGTAGGAGTGGGGCTTGTTTGCTGAGCAGGAGACCTATAGTGTCAAGGAAGGGTTATGGGATGGAGAGAGTGCTGAGGGGCAGGTGGATGTGGGCTCAGGATTTTTAAGCCTTGTGTATTGCTAACTACATCTAGCTACCTGTCTGGCTGAGCCTTCAGACCCGAGAGTCCTCCCACAGAAACCTGTGAAGGGAGAAGCCCAGAAATCTATCCTAGCTTCCATGGAGCCCTCTGGTTGTAGAGTGGGTGAGGGCCTATGAGAGAGAGTGCTTGGCCAAGGAGGCCTGTGGCTCCCCAGACATGGACATCTTGTGAAGACAGGTGAAAATCTGTTCTCTTTAGGGGGTGTTCACATCCTGCTTCCTTGAAGTTTGGGAAAGTGACGGAATTACAGGTGAATTAGGTTTCTGAGGCATACTGAGCACTGGTTCCTTCAGCACAGGAGTAAGGGTAGGCCTGGAAGTTTGAAGGTCTGTGTTGGAAGTTTGGTTCTTGGCCTCAGTTCTCTGAGGGGATGGCCTAACTGATCTACATGACCCCTTCCAGGTCCCCAGATCCCAGCTCAGTTCATGCACTACATTGTTCCCTACTCCTCACATCTCTAGTGCTGGAGCCCCAGGTAGCCATCCAGTGGGAGAGTTTTGGTTCCCATGAAGTACAGGCTCCAAGCTCCAGACCTGCCTAATATGTTGCATCAAAGTTTCAAAGGCCATACATAATCAGTCTAGTCTGAAAGTGGGACTGTCTGTATCCAAGTTTTCGAGAATGGGATATTTGTGGACTTAATATGGAATTAAAATAATCCTGAAATCTTTGTGTTTTATTTCTGGAGATAACCTCTGGTTAATGTTTACTCTCAGGAGTAACTATCATGACTATTAGGCAGAGAAACAACAGCTTATGTATTGATTGGTGCTAGAAATCTTGTTTTAAAGTAGACAAATTCCTGAAAGCAGCCCGTTTTCCAACTGGAAGTGAGCCTAAGTTCCCTTCAAGTTGCTCATGTCCTTAAGAATGAAGAGCGTGTGTGTTGGAGGAGGTACAGTGTTCTCAAGACACAGATAGGCATTAACTTTTGTAAAGCGCCTTGTTACTGCCAATGGATATTTACAAATTCTTCCTACGATCCAGACATTTTTCATTTGTTTGCTTTCTGGCTATTTCATGTTGAAGCAGCATGTATGACCTTAACAGTGCAGCTCCTGTCTTGTTTTTTAACTCTTTTTATCAGGAGATTCAACTTGAAAAACGGTTATCATTTAGCAGAAAGACAAACAGAAAAGCACATTTTTGTAAGCAAAACGTTAATGATTGGAAGAATTGCCCTAATTTCACCATGACAGTGTGTGATTAATCCCCTGGGTCGTGTACTTATACTTTAAGTTATTCAGTTCGTTGCTCTTTGATATCCAGAAACCTTTCTAACTTAATAGGATATTGATTTTGTTGGATGATGTACTTTGACTCTTTACACAACATCACTTTTAGGGATGACTAGCCTGTTACGTACTATTTTATTTAGAGAACTGTTGCATAAGGTTTCTTTTTCTGGTTTTTCTCAGGGTGAAAGCTGATAAGACATCTTGTGGGAAAAGAGGAAACCATCTGAGAGTGAAAGTACCTATGCTCTTTCAACATTTCTGACAAGCTTTTTTTGTTTGCGGTTTTATCACTGTGAATATTCAACTTAGTTAAAACACAGACAGTACAGGGATTCTAGAAAACTTAGCTCTTTAGGCTTAGGGGAAAATGCACTTGACTAGGGATGGATGATACTAAAATTCCCATTCCAATTATACCGACATGGAATTTAAAAAGCACACCCTTTTGACTTCTCTTTAGAGTCTCTTTAATCTGGAGGTGTTTATATGATTATCCATGACATAGGGTAAAACGCATAATACCAGTCACTCAGGAGGCTACCCAACAGTTAAATTTGTTACCTTGTGGTCAAAATAATCGCACATTGTATTAACATTTACCTGTCATTCATTGGGCTTTTTGAAACCCTAGCGGGGGACTCTGTAAGTGGTTAAATCTAATTTTGTTGCTTGGTATGTTTTCTGGTACTGCTGTTAAATCCAAACACAAAGCACCTGGCAGATTTCTCCCACCCACCAAAGCATCAGGGTGCCAAGGTCTGCAGGACAGCAGCTACACATTTTGAGGTGGCAGTAGGAAGCCACGGAATTACCATGGTGAAACAGCAGAGGTGGCAGGATGACAGGAGTCCCCTACCCCTACCCTGCTGGCTGGAGACCTGAATTCCTGACTTCCTGTCCTTTGGGCACCTCACTTGGGAGTCAGCTTCAATGGTGCCCAATGGCTAAGTGTTATCCAGAAAGCCCTGATTCCCTGCTTTTGCGACAGCTTCGATTTACAGTTGCACGTGGGGCAACTTCTTTAGGAGCTGGATGCACACAAATCTCTCCAGATGACTGGACAGATTGGGAAAGGGGACCTTGGAACTGCATTTTTCTGCTGCAGAGGAGCTTGACTTTAGAGTATCTGGCAGCTACTGCAGGTTTTCGAAGCCACAGACTGCACACACACACACACACACACACACACACACACACACACACGCATAGCTTTTTTTCTTTTTTAAATTTATTTAAAGAGGAGACAGAGAAAGTGGTCACTGCTAATTGTGGGAGATTTTCCAGGTGAAAGCCAGGGAGGGCCACTTCCCATTATAAAAAGTTTATCCAGTGTGTATTTTCTAACTCTTCATTAGGATCCCTTTAAATTTGAAAGGGAGATTGACTTTACTGAAAACTTTTATATATTAAAATTTTACTGTCCCAGAGACACTGATGTTGACAAGCACAAAAGAGTCACTGCCCATGGCTCCCTCTGGGAGTCATAGACCTGCAGCAAGAAATGCCTAGTGAGTTTGTCTCAACCGTGTTTCCATTTTTCTTTAATCATGCCTTTCCATCTTTCCTCACATTTTCTCATCTTTAATCATTTTCCCATATCCAGGATGCCTTGTATGCATTCAGTTTATTTTTTCCATTAAGAATTATTTTTCCCTATTAGAAGAAAATATTGGCAGTAACCTACAGGATATAGGTGTAGGCAAGGATTTCTAAATCAGAAGTTGCTCAGGAATTAGGGTCAGCAATCAATGAGTGGGACCTCATTAAATTAAAAAGCTTCTGTACAGCAAAAGAAACAAAGAAGTGAAGAGAAAACCCACAGAATGGGAAAAAATCTTCACCAGTGACACATCTGACAGAGGTTTAGCATCCAGATTATATAATGAACTCAAAAAACAAAGAATCGAGAGACCAAATGATCCAATTAAAAGATGGGCTAAAGATCTAAACAGAGTTCTCAAAGGAAGAAATAAAGATGGCTAAGAAACACCTCAAAAAGTGTTCAACATCATTAGTGATTAGGGAAATGCAAATTAAAACCACCCTAAGGTATCACCTTACTCCAATCAGACTGGCTAGGATCAAGAGAACAAATGAGAACAAATGATACCAAATGCTGGCGAGGATGTGGAGAAAGGGGGACAGTCATTCACTGCTGGTGGGATTGCAAACTTATGCAGCCTCTATGGAAAACGGTGTGGAGAACTCTTAAAAAACTAAAAATGAGCCTACCATATGACCCAGTTATACCACTCTTTGGCATATACCCAAAGAACTCATCCTATTGCAGAGACACTTGTACACCC